TAGTTAGTAGTTAGTAGTGGGTAGTGAGTAGTAGTCGTAGTAGTAGTAGTAGCAGCAGTAGTAGTAGTAGTAGTCGTGGTTGTAGTAGTAGTGGTAGTAGTAGCAGCAGTAGTAGTATTCGTAATAGTAGTAGTAGTAGTAGCAGTAGTAGTAGTAGTAGCAATGGTAGTAGTTAGTAGTGAGTAGTGAATAGTAGTCGTGGTTGTAGTAGTAGTAGTAGCAGCAGTAGTAGTAGTAGTAGTAGTCGTGGTAGTAGTGGTAGTGGTAGGGGTAGTGGTAGTAGTAGTAGTAGTAGTCGTAGTGGTAGTAGTGGTAGTAGTGGTAGTAGTAGTAGTGGTAGTGGTGGTGGTGGTGGTGGTAGTTAGTAGTAGCGAGAAGTAGCTAGTAGCTAGTAGCTAATAGTTAGTAGTTAGTAGTTAATAGTGTTAGTAGTAGCAGTAGCGGTAGCGGTAGCGGTAGTAGCAGTAGCAGTAGCAGCAGCAGCAGCGACAGCTGCAGCTGGAGTAGTAGTAGTAGTAGTAGTAGTGGTAGTGGTAGTAGTAGTAGTAGTAGTAGTTTCAGAGGCAGACAACCCTGACCTGGCAGGTGGAGAAAAACCAATCTGACGCGCGCACCGCAAGGCAACACAGTACGAAGGAGATGTACACGGTTGCTGACCGACGAGGTAGTGGAGCTTGGCCTGGAACATGTACTGAGATCAGTACCTGAGTCGCTTGCCCCATCATGTCACTTCGTCGCGTCCCTTACATGGTCACATTGCACAAGCCCATACATAACCGATCAAACACCAGATAGAACCCACGAACCCAAATGTGAGATATAGTTGAAAGGAGCGGATTGATATCAGCGTGTACGCAAGCAAGCTTTATACCGCCCATCCTCCCGCTCTCCAGTGGCACGCCGCATTTACCCCCATATCTCCAAAACCACAACACTTCCTCTCCCAAAACTCACATTCGTCTCCAAAACGAGCATGTGGCACGAGACTTTTCCAAAACTCACTTTTCAAGTCTGCAAAGCCGCCCTGCCGAGCAGTTTCGCGATTCCAGCCCCTCCAAACCACACCTGCTGACACGCCAATCCCATGTCCGCCTGCCACGAAAACTCACCTCTACCACACCTCGTGCCGCACAAAGCCCGTTGCCTGCCACGAAAAGTGACAATATCATGCCTCAACAAAATTTGTACCTCACCACACGCTCGGATTGATTTCGGCACTTTCTAGACACAGCATCTCCATCCACTCACATCCACCAAAGTCGCCATTTGAGCTGAGACTTGTCGCCAAAGCACAGCTTCCAAGCGACAGCCCCAAACGCAAATCCCAATATCCAACACCCAAAAACACCACCATCCAGACGCCAATCCCAATCTAAATGCACACAAAACTACGGATCTCCCAAACCGCTGCACCTGCGCAGGAATTCACACTCCAAAATCCAACATCCCAAAGACACCAGAGTGTGCCCCAGGTGGTTGGAACAGTTCCAGTTCCAGATAGTCAGTTCCAGTTCCAGATCCAGTTCCAGTTCCAGATCATAGTGGGAGTGGTCGGGGGGGTGAGTTCCAGTTCCAGTTCCAGATCATGGTGAGAGTGGTCAGGGGGGCGGTGAGTTCCAATTCCAGATCCAGATCACAGTTTTCCCGGGGAGGGCAGGTCAGTTCCAGTTCTAGTTCTAGTTCCAGATCCAGACCTAGACGCTCGCATGTATTTCTTATATTCTAAAAATGCCTAGCTCTGACACTTGGTTTCTGTCCTCAACAGGTTTTTTTGGTCGGGCGACTTTTACTTGGTCATGCCATGTCACATGTTTCTCCCCTCTGCTCGAGAGCATTCAGACCGCACCACATGATCCATGTTTCTTTCGATGGAGAAAAGAACAACAAGGCCTTGCAACCATAGTGACCCCGGGGCATGTGTGGACTTCGCAGGCAGTCGGATAACAAGCACATGTGGCTTGCATCTGTGGGTGAAGCGGAGGGATGAAAACAAGCATCAATCAACGGAACAGCGTGGCCCACATGCATGGACGCAGCGGATACGAACAGGTTCGGTATATACAAACGTCGTAGATTATCGAGGCAAAGCAATCTGCAAACTATCTTACCCAACAGTCGCGTTCCTGCGGGCTTCACATGTTCTCAACAACCGGATTTTGTTAGTGCGCTAAACGTTTGAAAAAGGACTCTATTTAATAAAATCCTTTCGAGCTCAGGTCAGGTCCTTAATTTTTTTGTGCGCTAACGTTGGGCTTGATCGAATTTATGGAATCCTGCGTCAATGTGTTTTATTTATGGAATCCCTGCGCTGAGGTTGTAGGCGCTCATAAATAGCAAACATCGTTAGCTCGTCGTGTCCCAGCTTTTTCTTCTGAGCCAATAGCAATGCAGTAACTCACCCACATAATGAACTCCTTGCATTATATAACCTTACTCTCTTGTTCTAGATCCAATTCCACATCCCATTCCGGTTGTCATTTCAAGGCCTGTGATGAAATTCAGGAGTTCCAGTTCCAGATCTATTTCCAATTCCAAACGTAGTGGCGATTCTAAATTCAGATGATAAAGACTTTGGGCTGCGGGGGATGTAGTTCCAGATCCAGTTCCAGTTCTAGTTCCAAACGTAGTGGCGATGTCAAATTCCTATGCTAAGGATGATTTTTGGATGTGGTAAGGGAGGGGAGGTTCCAGTTCCAGTTCCAAACGTAACGTCGATTCCAAATTCCTGCGGTGATATTTTTTGTGGGGGGTGGGGGGGGGTTCCAGTTCCAGTTCTAGTTCCAAACGTCGGGGCGATTCAAAAGTCTTGTAATACGTCTTTTTTTGGTGGGGGGGGAAGGGGGTTTTCCAGTTCCAGTGGTGGCGATTTCACTTTCCCATGAGATAGATTTAAATTCGAAACACGAAGCAGCCTCCATCGAAACACCTCTCCAAATCCTTTGCCGCATGGAATCCTCGACCTGCCAAACCCAAAACGGCGAACACATCATCCTACCCCCCACACCCCCAACTACAACTATAAACGAGAACCCTTCGCTACGCATTCGGGAAGAAAAGCACTTGATGGAAAAAGGAACAAACAAACTGAATCAGGCACCGCAAGCGAGTTAGTCAGTGATTCACTCCTATCGTAGAGGCCCACTGGCTGTGAGTGAACGTGCAGAAACAGGACACTCATGTTCAAAGATTCCAGGGCAAAGTAAAAACTTTGTTCATGCACAATTGGTAAAGTTGGCCACAGAGCTTTAAATAGACCAACAAATAAGAACAGTGATTTGGCCAACATGTGCAAGCCTGTCATTGCCCAATTGAATGCACTTCCTCGAGGGCCGAGTTGCTACGCACGAAGATGATGCCGGGAATATCACGTGCCACATACTGTGCCAAAAAGCATAGCGAGTCGGAGATGCACTATCACCTTTCCGCGAGGATCGCGACCTCAAAGCAGCAATCTTCATGAATCTTCTACACTCCTCTAGGTTGGAGGCCATCGCTATTACATTGCGTGTTGGCCACAGAAGAATGAGTGAAGTACTTTCTCGATGGGCCTGTGCTTCTGAAAAAGCTCACCCAGTAGTGTCATTCCGGACAGTTCGGAGTATGTGACTGCGACATGAATAGCTATATAATTGCATCGGGGGTGAATGGCTACAAGTAATCGCACTCAACTAGCTCACGTCACATGACACTACAAGCAAGACCCCAGTGACCGCAAGGTCAAAAAAGCAATTAAAAGCAGCGTTGATTTGGCGTGGTCGTTGTTCCCCCTCGATGTGCTTTCCTGGTAGCCTTGGCCAGTTTCGAGGTTGAAACGTGCGCTGCGCATGCTTTTGGAGCTGGTGAGGTCGGTGGAGAGTTGAAGCACTCTGCCACCAGGTCGTTTGGAATATTTAGTCCATTTTAGTCCCATGTTTGCGGTCTTTTTATTTTGCGCGTTTGGAAGTAAATCGGTGCCGCCTTGCAAATCACAGGGCTTCAAAACGATGCTATTCTGGATTTGAAAGCTTTGGAGGCACATGTCACGACGTGGCAGTTTTGAGTACTGTGCATGCAATGTTTCAAAAAATACAACATGCAATGCCAGGAAGGGCCCGATGCAACGAAGCTAGATGTCATATTGCCGCTTTTGGTGCAAACATACTTGCATTTGTTCAACGCAAATGTACGTTGTCA